TTTTAAATTGTTAAATTTTACTAACGATTTTAGATGATAGGCAAAAAGCTAGCCCGTACTAAATAATGAGTCACGACCTGTAAGGCACGTGGAATAAATTAAACTTTCCGGCCTAGGGTTACAATTATTCTGATAGAAATTCAAACGGGCTAAGCAGTCTTCATCTAAAATCGCACCTTCGAGTCCCGTATGTTTTTCCTTTTCAGGGAAAGGACCAAATGAGAGGAACAATCAAGTGCTCGAGGATTCATACTTCAACGCTCAAACACTTGGGGGACTATATAATATACACAAACATGTGTATAAAGAAGACAAAGAAGATTGGGAAATAATCAAAGAGCAAGCCTGAAAAGTTCACTCAATGAATGAGTCAAATACAGAGCAAAGTCACGGGCTAAGCCTAAAGAAAGGCCTTACCATAGCTAGGGTAAAGGCAATGTACTGAAACGGGTTATAAATAAAAATCTCGTATTTATTTTTCTTTTTTAAATCTGTTACAAGAAAAATAGTTACGATAAAGTTATAGATGTAATTCAAATACATGTAAAGTGTTATTCAAAACTAGACAAAGTTCAAATAAAAACTTGTCAATGTTATTTTAAGAAACATGTGTATTCCTATTTCTTTTATCATATATTAACACCATTATGAAGTTGAGACGTCTTCTTCATTGAGTGTCGAATATAAAAGGTCCCTCTTTTATAAAATTCATGATTAATTTAAGTATTCATGAAGTTAAAGCATTTTTTGAAGAGTAAAAATGCAAGTTATTCAGTAAGTCCTTATAAATAAAGGCAAGAATAAACAAAACAGAAGTTCAAATAGTAACGAAAAACTTCTTAACATTAAAAAGCTTAGACTAAAGCATGAACTTAGTTATAAACTGAAAATTGTTTATATATATTGCCCCATAAAAGGTCTGGGGCTTAAGTTTCCAAAACAAACCCTCAAATGAGACCAAGGGTTTTAATCGCAATTTTTCAAAAAAAAAAGACACAAAGGAATTCAAACAACTTAAACTTGTCACTGAGAAGATGAAGGAACTGAAGCAGGTACATCAACAGCAACGGGTTCAACTTGGCTTGAAGGAGTGGGGATACCCGTATCTTCTTTAATATTTGTGGAAGCTTCGACCACGGGAGAAGGAAAATCTTGGTTCTGCTGAGTCTTCTCAATAGTTTCATTGATTTTAGCTAACTCAGATTCCAAGTTAAAATTCTTTTTGCTAGCTTCAACGAGGGTATCACAGCGAGAATTCAAAAATGCCCAACTCACTTCAATGGCAGACTTATCTTCAAGGATCTCATAATCTCTTTCCCAGTCAACGATTTCGTTCTTTAGCTTTTCATTTTCAGCCAAGGCAGATTCATAAGAAGCTTGAAGAGAGGTGTGTGAATTTTCTAAGGAACAAACCTTATCAGAAGAAACCCGGAGGTCTTCTTGATCTTGAGTCAAATTCTGCACGAGTTCACTAGCATAGGCTTCTTTTGGCATCCAAGAGAGCCTTCAACTCTCTAATATCTTCACTCGTCTTGGAAAGCTTCTCGGAAAAAGAAGTTTCAAGACGAGCCTTTTCCTTGTCTGCTTGACTGGAGGAAGCCTTTTCAACTGCCAATTCCGAAGTCAAAGCCCGCACTTGCTGCTCCAAGGTACTTTTACTTTCTTCTAAGTACTCCACGTCGATCTAAAGACTTTCATATTGTTCCTTCCAATTATATGCCTCCAATTTGTAATTACGCACTAACTGCTCTGAGAGGGTAACCCTTTTCATCATCTCTGTGCCGATGAGATTGGCCTAAAAAGGGGGAAAGGGAAGGAAATGAGAATCCCAAAGATAGAAAAATGACAAAATAAAAGTTAGAAAAAAGGAATACCTTTAAAGAAGCATGCACAATGTCATTCATTAAAGTCAAAGAACTATGGCTCTCTAGCTTGGCTCTCTTAACAGAACCAATTAAAGGCTTTAGCCACACAGCTGCTTGACCCGATTTCCTTAAAAGGTTGCCCTCAGCGGGGACTTCAATAATCACTTGCCTCATAGCACCACTCCTACTTGAGGAGCCAACCTCATCACGGTGAGTAGGTGGAGGAGGAATTGTCGAAGGAGGAATAGTAGAAGTAGTAAAAACAGCCTGGGGAGGAACAGAAACAGCCATAATCGGCAAATTAGGAGTCACAGGCACGGGAGGAGAAAAAGAAGCCAAGGGAGCTTCATCAGAAACGGGACCTAAACTTTCACTACCAAACCCGCGGTCAAAAAGCTGCTCAACAGAATCATGAGCAGCAGCGGGAGCATTATCAACATTATCAGGGATCACTACCAGGGCTTCCACAGATTCAGTAAGAGGAATAGAATGGTGGGGGATGCTTCTGCTTCATCATCGAAAATAATGCATCTGCGAGCCCGTGGCCTTGTTACCAAGGAACCCCCATCTTCCTCTTCTTCGGAATCTTGGTCATCAACGACTTTTCTTTTCGATGAAGAGCCCAGAATTATTTCTTGAGCCCTTTCCAAAGAGATACGAGAAGCCGCAACCGCATCAGCAATAACTCCTCGAATAGCAAATTCTGATAGAAAGAAGGATTGGGTTAAGTTCAGGAAAAACGAATATGTAAAATAAAGTAAAAGCTCTTACCATGAGTTTTTACTTTCCAACCAAAATGTTGGGAAAGAGTCTTCCAAGATCTACCATCTATTGGTGCAATACTCAACAGCTTTCCTACCCAATCACGGAAATTGGGAACATCTTCCACAACTCCCATGGTTGCTAGAAAAGAAAAGTAAAATTAGAAAAATCAACAAAACTGAAGAAAAAAGTACGAGAAAGTTAGAAGACTCACGTGCAAAATTTCACTTCTCAGGGAAGGAAACGTTCTCATCACCCACTAAACCAACAGTGGGGGTAGCAACAAACGTGGCATACCAGCCACAGTCTTTATCATCTTCAGGGCTAACTAAAACTCTTTTGCTCCTGGCAACTAGTGTAAAAACACCATTGCGAAAGAGTCTAGGGGATTAAAGATGAATTAGATGTGGGAAAGTAAAAGGCATACTGGCTATGTTGGTCAAATGCCTCAAATAGGCAACAACCCTCTATATTATTGGGCCAATTTGACCTAAGCAAACATCAAAGAAATGATAGAACTCGAGAATAACATGATCAATAGCAGGTTTGAATCCTAATGTGAAAGGGTACGTATAGACAAAGGAAAATCCGGTTAAGTAAGAGGAAATTCTTTGATTCAGATTGGGAATAATGATAGGAAAGTCATGACTGTAATGGCAGTCTCTACGAACTAAAAAAATCAAACCTTCAGTGATTTGAGAGGGATAGATATTGGCATGATCTAAAGAAGATACTTGATTTTTAAGAGATTCTCTGTCAATATAGAAAGATAGTTCCACAGGAACTATCTCCTCTACTAGAGGTTCACGAAGAGGTTCAGAATATTCCTTACCTCTAGAAGAAGATCTGTGTGAAAGAGAACCTCTAGTTTTAGAAGAAGGTCCAGAACTAGGCGAAGGAAGAGAAGAACCACGCAAGGATGAAGATCCTAAATTACAAAGCCTACCTCCTCTTCTGCTCCTACTGGGGGCATCAGGGAAGTTATCAACTATGAGGACCCAGGGTTTGATGAAGACATGATAGTACGAGGAAGAAACAAACAAAGATTCAAGAACTGAATATTTTGAAAACTTTATGTGATAAAGACAAAGAAGAAAACTATATTTATACTGCGAAGCAACCGTCAAAGGAAAAGGTGCATTGATGGAAAAGTCATAATGAGAACTGACGCTTCATGATTAGTGAAGCCGTGAAAAAGCCCTAAAATGTGCTGCAAAGTTGCAGATTCAGTAAAAGGGTGTCACGCGTGAAGAGCATTAAATGGAAGTAACAAATGAAGCGTTGATTCTACTATAGCATTAATGGTGACAAAAATTCTCATTTTAATGAATTCCACTTCCCAAATATTTAATTGATGAATAAATGACAAGTGGGGGGACTATCTGTATTGGGAATAATTGAGTTTACATATTAAAGTGATTGGAAGATGTCGTGTCATGACACGTAGTCTGGTCAAAGAGTTATGATTCGCAAAGAGGCACGAGTTGCAACAGATACGAGCAGAAACATAAGAGGAGGCACGAGCGGATACTCAAGAGATTCAACGCCCGTACCTATTTAAGTCTAAGAATCAAAGAGAATGAATCTGACAGCACAAAAGAGTACAGATACAGTATTTAATGAGCATTAAATACTAAAAACGTTAGAGAATATGTATTAAAATACAATGATTATGTAACGTAGCATTTAATGTCTTTAATTGTCTATAATGGCCTTATTGTGACAAAGGCAAAATGCATATTTCCAAGATAGCTATAAAAGGGAAAGAATGGGTTAATTGTAAAAGAAAAAGAGTATCTGAATATATTGGTTTATTTTATCTTCTTCTAATTATCTTATTGCTAGCCAAATTACTTTCTCTTATACATTTCTTGATTATCAGTAACCCGGGTTCTTCTAAATTAAAATTTTGACCGAAATTCCACTTTTTGGTTAAACACAACTTAGTTGTTGATGAACTGCGAGAGTAGTATGTGAAGGATTTTGGCTGTAAGCCAGAAATGTATTGGGGATGTGGGTTGGATACAGTTTTTACTAAGTGCTAGTAGAAAATAGTGACTTTATATACATAAAGGATGAGGATTAAAAGTTCTTTTTCAAAAATTATTCTACTGAAGTGATAAAAGTGGGAAGTTTCAAGAATGTCAAAGAAATGTTGACAAGACATTTGTTGCTCAATGATGTCAGAGTCCCTTGAGGTTATTTCGAGATTTAAATTTTATGGATTTATCAGTTAGTTATACTAGTATTATTTTTATATTTTTTTATTCTTCAATTTTTATTATTACCTCTCAATAAACTGTCCTTTATTTGTTTTCTCATCATTGTGAATTTTAGAGTAACTTTTATATTTATCTGCATTTAAATGTATAGATGGTGAATGTTGAGTAACTTTATACTTATATTTATATATTCTTTGTAGAGACGATGTGAGATAAGCAAGGCCAATCGAACAAAGCTGAAATCTAATCATTTCATGGGGTTAAGAGCTTTTGTAGTTGCTCATGCTGTACTATTTTTATTTTTTGTAACTTTTTCAATACCTTTGCTTGTGAAAGCTTATGAAATTAAAAGTCACATACACTTTTATATCCCGTTTAAGGGAACATGAGTTTTTTTTCAACTTTTCATTAAGCATAAGACTATATCTCTACTAACTTACATCAAATTTCTATTAAATCATAAAACTAGTTTCCAGTTTTCCATCATACAATAGATAGCTGCATAATATAAAGAACCATGATCCTATTAGACAATACATTCATTACCTTTTGGTGAACTTGTAATCTAATCATGTTAATGTGGTTGAGGTTCAATCACCCTCCACATTCATTACTAAGATGATATTTTAGTAATATTTCATATTATTTTCATATTGTGTAGGGTGAATGAACATGGAGGAGTAGAGCCAAATAGGATTGAGTTCTACAAAAGCACTCATTACTCGAGTGAAAAAGGATGGTCATCTCCAGAGGCTGAGACTAACTACGTAAGTAATATTTTAGTACAATGTCAAATGTATTCAATCTATCTTATAATTAATTTAACTGATGTAATATTTTTATGTAGAACAAAATGAGAGATTTGAGAGCTCGGTCTGTTCCTGAAGAGAATCCAATGACTATTGATGAAATTGTTGATAATGTACTTGGTACAAGGTCAGGATATATTAACGGCCTTGGCTATGGTCCAAAGCCTAATACAACTACAACAACAAAAAGAAGGACAGCAGAATTAGAGGATGCTCTTAGGAGGGCAAAAGAGGATGCTGCTATTGCCCAACATGGTTTACAAGAACGTTTGAATGTAGCTGAAACTGAGGTAGCAAATCAGCAGATACAGATACAAACATTAACTTCTGAGTTGGGTACTCTAAGGGCACGCCAAGAGGAAATATTAAACGAAATGAAGCGTCAATTTATTGGCTCATCACCATCAAGGTTAGAAGTACTACATCTTTAAATGATAAATTCAATTATAATTCTTTTAGCATCTAAGTTCGAATATTTTTTTAATGATACAGCGAAGATTGAGCTCCACCAGATTATCAACTTTGGGTATACTAAACTTTACACTATTTAATTTTTTTCTCATTTTTATTTATTTGTATCACAATTCAATTATTTGTTTCACCAATTAAACTCTACGTCTAACAAGAAGTTGTAGTTTATACCAATTATATTTTATTTATACCATGATACCATAAAGCATTAACTTAAATCTTAATATTTTCTCTATCTTTTATACAGGTATATGAGGTAACTATTGGTCAAGACTAATTGCAAGTGAAGTGTCACTGCATTCCTCCACTTCTCAGTCCTAGTTTAGGAGTAATATTTCTTAGTTAGACTTTTATGTTGGACATATTTACTTTAATTATGTTTCTTTTAATTTAAGGAGCTTTTATTTCAATATAATTTTAATATTAGTTTTATGATCAATGGTGAATATTTTTGTTACCTTTGATTGTTTTTATTTTTCTGTTATTACCTCGATTGTTTTATTATGTTATTTCAAATTCGTATAACGTCAACCTAAAACAAATACGAATATAAACGTCATCAAACATTTGTTATTAGTGACAAAAAAGTTCACTTTGTATAGTTTTTAGGAATATCACATTTTCGTCACGAAACAAATTAAGTTCGTCATAAATTCACTATATTTAGTGAAAAATAATTTATGTCCCAAAATGATCTTTTTATTGACTACAAATCAACTTTATATTTATTGACAATTGTAATTGTCACTAATTATGATAACTTATAGTGACAACTTTGTTTTGTCAATAAAAATATTTTTTTAGTGACGAGATGATAGTTTTAACTACAAAATTATAGTTGTCAATAATTATATAATTAGGAACGAAATACATTTTTGTAGATAAATGTAACGACCCGACCGGTGGTTTTGAGTTTTTGCACTTTGCTCGCTAGTTCTCGGGCATGACTATGATGTATTATGACTTATTTTAATCGTTGGTTTTGGTTTTCAAGGTAATCGGAATGAAATTGGAAGAACAGTTCCCAGTTTAAATCTTAAAATTTGAAAGGTTTGACCAAGATTTGACTTGATTGTATATGATCTAGGATCGGGACTTTTATGGTTTAGTTAGCTCCGTTAGGTGATTTGGGACTTAGAAGCGTGATCGGAATGCATTTTGGAAGTCCGTGGAAGGTTTAGGCTTGAATTGGCGAAATTGAGATTTCGGCGTTTTTCAGTCGATAGGTGAGATTTTGATATAGAGGTCGGAATGAAATTCTGACAGTTGCAGTAGCTTCATTGTGTCATTTGGGATATGTGTGTAAAATTTTAGGTCATTCGGACGTGGTTTGGTTGAGTTTTTGATCGAAAGCGTATTCGGAAGTTTTTGGAAAACTTAGGCTTGAATTCGATGAGTTTTGGGTAATTTGATGTTGTTTGAGGTGTTTTGATGATTGGAACAAGTTTAAATGAGGTTTTAGGATGTGCTGGTGACTTTGGTAGAGGTCCCGGGGGCCTCGGGTGAGTTTCGTGTGGTCAATCGGACCATTTTTGGTGTTGAGAAATTGCAGAAAAATTAGTTCAGCAGTTGCAGGTATTTTAACCTTCACGTTCGCGAAGGGCTGGGTCCTGGAAGCTACACGTTCGCGAGGGTCTAGGCCGCATTCGCGAAGGGTGCATCAGGCTATTCATTGCGTTCGCGTTATGGTTTATGCGATCGCGTATAAGGGATTTGGTCCCAGGGGAATTTCTCATCGCGTTCACGGAGGTATATGAGGGAAGGCATCGCATTCGCGACTTGTGTGTCGTGTTCGCATTGAGTAAAAAGTGGTCAACGCGAATTTGTGCATCGCGATCGCGAGGTGTTGACTGCGATCGCGAAGAAGGAAGGGTCAATGTTGGGCAAAATGTTTGAAGTCACTTCATCCGCGATTTTTGGGCTCATTTCCCCCATTGTTGATCATTTTGAGAGCTTTTTGAAGGAAATTAAAGAGGGATTCAAGGGTAATCGATTGGGGGTAAGATTTTGAACTTAAAACTCGTTTCTATTGTGAACTACCTAGAAAATTATGGAACTTAATCTAAAAGGGGAAGAACTAGGGCTTGGGATTTTGGACTTTTGGTTTGTTCTTTTCAAAACAGATCTACAAAGATCTTACCTGTCAATACCAAAACCCATTTCTTGGAGCCAAGTTTCTCTACCACAAAACTGGTTACTACAAGATGCCACTCAAGCTGAAAAACCAGAAAATACTACGGTCTCTCAGATCCAACAATATTCTAGCAGATCTGTAACCATTTCCTTCCAAAGATCCCTTAGCCAAAGAGTCTCTATTTCGTCCTCTTTGACACAGTCTGAGATTCAGCCTGGAAGACATTCAATATCTTCTCTTCCTTCTCGGATCGAAACTGTTAATTTTGATTCTAGGATCCCACAAACCAAATATTTTGTAAAGACAACCCCTCCAACAGAAGTTAATTATGAACAACCTCAATCTCCCACTTACTCAACTTTAGGTGTTGAATTAGGTGTTTTGGAAAAAGATTTCCAAATTGATAAAGAAAAACTTTGAGCAAATTTTTATTCACCAGAAAATATTTTCAAAAGAACTTGGTTTTTTGAGAATTTTCAAGGAGATAATAGAAAAAATCTTCGAAGTATCAAAACAAAATAATTATACGAACAAATATTTACAATCCCTTGGTGAATATTTAGTTATAAAATCAACTTCACCATCTACTAATTCTAAGCCAGTAGATACCTCCACTTCTTCAATCGCTACGAAACTTCGGATCCACCAAGCTAAAGACTATCCTCAGTTCTCTGACCTTCAAAGAACTTCTTGTATGCAGTTGAGATTTGCACCTGTATCAAATAAGGCAATGATATCCAAGGTAAAAGACTTATTGACAATTAGGATGACTCTCATGTGCTATTTTCTTATGGGAATTCGGGAGAGGTGGTTACAAAAAACTTCGTGTTCAACTGGTTTAACTTCAGTTAGTTTGAACTCTTCAGGCTTGGTAGAGAGCTGTTGGAGAATATATATATATATGTTATCGACAATACATATTTTGTCAGCTATTATTTTTAGAAATTGGTAAAAATATATATTTTTCTATTTTAATTGTGTTATTATTTATTAGACTGAAACTAAATAATTAAAAAATATGGAACAAGAAAATACTACTGAAGTTGTGTTTCCCGATCATTATGATTTTTATATGAGTTAGTGAAAGTTTTATGATTTTTGTGTAAGAAAATATAAAAATATATGACTTTAGTGAAAAGAAAAAACATATTTATACGACCACTTCTGAAATTTACCCTAAACCTAAACCGAGAAATTTTGCATGAAATATTTTCATGTAAATGACGAGAAAGAAGAAGAAAGGAGGCCATTTCAGATTGCTATGTACAACTACAAAAAAAAAAAAAAAAAAAAAAAAAAAAAAAAAAAAAAAAAAAAAAAAAAAAGGACTAGAGACAGAAAATTCAGAAATAACATGAAGAAACAGGACAAGTAAAACAAAATACGTACAAAAGCAAAAATGAAAAGAAAAAAACACAAAATATATGGAATATTTATAGTCAGTCCATCGCTTCATCTTTGTGATTTACATCCTCCAGACTAGTCCAAATTAAGCTCATTTTATCCTGTCAAAAGAACAAACATAACACGAAATTTTAGCAAACAGTTTAGTAATAAGTAAAAATCAATTCAATTACAACTCATTAAAAGTTAAATGCTTTAATTTCTTATCTAGTTCCAAGTAGAAGACAAAAGAAAAAGATGATCCTACTTTGTCTTGTTANATATATATATATATAAGTATATATATTCTTAAATCATGCATAAAAGTTACTACTAATTTTTAAGTGACTTGATAGCTAGTGTAAAACTTATTTACGCCGTCAGCTCGTAGATAAAAGTAGAGCCAAATTAAACCAGGTGATATACTACGTACGTACCGGGACACTTGACGTTTGGAGAGAAAGTGAAGGGCAAAGTGACTCCACATCTGCGAGGGAGTGCTTTAACTGTAGCATCTGTAGCTCTGAGATTTTTGATTGCTGACTGAACACATCTGCAAACAGCTTGCCTGTTCTTAGCGGCCATCTTTGAAAGAGTTGAAATTCCAGCACAACAAGCAGCTGGAGGCATCCCAGTTACTCCACTCCCTCCCCTAAAGAACACCACGCAAGGTCTAACTGCACCTACTACGTTGCTGCACTGAATTCTTGTTTCACCATTTGAAGTAATTGGGAAAAGCAAGAACATCAGAATTGTTACCAAAAGAAAAGTATATGTAGGCTTCATGGTGAAGTACATGTAATAATTTTAAGGATTGATATTTTGAGTTTTCTTTTTGTTTTTAAATAATGGTTTATGGTTTTATTTATAGAAGTTTCGAGGGGACATGAAGACAAATTGAAGTTCTTGATTGATAACGATCAAATAAATAGGCTAAGGCAAATGGAGAAGATGAGGATGAAATGCACCCTTGGGTTCATTAGTTAATGAAGTTGGTGAAAATTATACCCCTCCCAATTTATATGGCAGAGCTTGAATTTTGCGAATCAAACTTTTTTATTTTGACCATGAATTTGGACATAGAATCTTTACAAAATTTATATATTTGGAAACTACGTTAAAAAGTAATATAAGTCACAACAATTAACAATTCAAAATATTTAAAAGACATGAAAAAATTATGGTCAAAGAAAAATTTGTTTGACTCTCGAAATTTTAACTCCGTGAGAGATAAGAAATAAAAAATAAAATAACTAGGTGATGGCAAGCAAAGCAAGACAATCATATATGATGGGAGGAGCGAGGTGGCAGAGATTTCATGAAAGAGTAGAGATACGCGCAAGTTGATGATTTGAATACTACTGCTATTACAAATATCATGAAAAGCATTGCTAGCAACATACGTATGATTTTCCCATGCAGGTGCGGAAGGTGCTATGTTGAGCTTGTTGGCGATCGAGTTTGCCAAAAAATTTATGCGGCTCATAGTTATCTGTGTCCCCAAATGCACACAAAGATATTGGATGAGCCAAGGAAATGTTTTAGCTTTAGCTTGGATCATGTCATACATTTGGCAAATTCCCCTTTGACTACTTTTGACCTGGAAGAATATATATATATAACGGTTGATTGACATGAACCCGGAACTACATTGAATAGTCTCAAGTAGGAAAACATAAAATTTGAAACTTTTTTACAAATGATAATTGCAGAAATATATATGGATATTAATATACTCCCTCCGTTTCAAATTAGATGAAATACTTTCTTTTTTAGTCTGTTCCAAAATAAATTAAATGACACATTTCTAAATTTAGAAATAATTCAACTTTAAACTCTTCATTTTGCCCATTTTACCCTTAATGAGAAACTTTTATAACCACACAAATGTCATGGCACAACAAAATATTTACCCCTTAAATTTTTAAGATCATAAGTTTCAAACTATCTCATCTAAATTAAAACCGAGGGAGTAATATAATTAATAAATCTTGTGGCCTTTATTTTGTGGCCTAAGCAATTGTACTTTTCTGCCTTGAGATTGAGCAGGTCTAGGGAATTACACGTAGGTAAATTACCAGCTATGTCCATTTATAAGTAGTTCATTACAAAAATTGATCAATTCATATAACATTATTAATATTAGCCAAATATTATTAATATTAGTCAATTAGCTATTTGTAGCAAAAACGGTCAAATGTTTGCTTTCATTTGAGTGGGTGTTATTAGAATAGATTGGATACATCTTAAGGAGCTTGAATCTCAGTTTTTGGATGATTTGATGAAGTTTTGAGATAGTTTGAATTGAAAATTTGAAGTAAAAACTGAACGTGATAAAAAACGATATGTGTATCACTGTGTATCATTTGTGTATCACATATGTATCACATTTGTATCAATTGTGTATTACATATATATCCACGTATACCTGTGTGTGAGATACATGCGTGATACATGTTTAATACATGTGTCGCGGAAGAATTTTTTTGAACTCGATTTAATTACAAATTTTGATACAAAACCAGTCCAAATCACCTCCAATCTTACTCACATTTTGTATGTTGACTCATCTAAATATTTTCAATGAATTTCAACTATACCCATTGAAAAAGTTGCTTTTTTGCTTAGATTTTTGGAATATTATATATTTTTTTATATTTTATCACCTTATTTGCTACCTCGTTCATGAAATTTCCTTTCCGTCTTGCATCTAATGTTGCTAATCAAATATGGAAGGAGATTTTTATATGTGATTCTTTGAGAGAAAGAACCTTATTTATTTGGTTTTTCAATTTTTATATGTGCTTGACTAGTTTTGGTAAGTCTATGACTAATGACTAGAGGTTGGTAAGTTGAGATGTCACAACACAAAATCATTGGTCGTGATGGCACCTAACTCAACCCGCTAGGTAAGCCAACTAATAGATAATACAACTCAACTGAGATTATAAGAAAATAGAGAACAAATAACTGAACATTTACAAATTTACCCAAGACCTGGTAGTACGACTCATGAGCTTCTAAGACTTGGAATTTACAAAGCTGGTACGAATAAATACACGTTTTATTTGAAATATATATAAACAGAATAGCAAAATCTAAGCTATCAAGGACAAGAGGCAGCTATATCCGGAATACATGAACATCTTCAGAATTAGCACCCGACATCACCAGCAACTCTACTCCAGAAATTTGTACACATCGTACCGAAGGATAGTATCGGTACAACCGACCACATGTACTGGTAAGTATTTTGTCTAACTTCGTCGACGTAGTGACGAGGCTTTTTAGTTAAAAGACACTTATTGATAAAATCTGCATTACGAATCAGCAATAGAACTATACCATAATATAATAGAGGAGAATACATGAAAACGGTTACGCAAAATAATAACCGAGTGTTAACAGAGATCACAATTTGGCATTCTCAAATACCTTAACCAATCCTTTCCTTAGAATGAAACCAATAAACTATAATAGTCAATTCTTAACTTTTATAGCATGAGGGATGTACCCAGATATTAAGTCAATTGCACGGCAACACCCTTTGTGCTTTTATCTCATCCTCACCCAATATACGTATAACAAAACCAACCAGATAACAGAAATAACAATAACATGAATTACAAGATAGAAAATACGCAAGTTGCAGTAATGAACAAAGATAACCATATGGGCAACAGTTGAAGACTAAGTTGAAAGCATGTGAATGATGACAGAAATTGGAAACAAGGAATATCAGCTTCAACTAACTAGCATGATAAAGGCCTAAATACAGGTATAACAAATAAGAAGAAAATACATGATTTTTTACTAGTCAACAAGTAGAGACATGAATGACTAACATAGAAAAAGGGCTTGTACTAAAATGCAACAGAATAAATACGGCGTGAGTGTAATTATAAAAGCAAAGAAATAGGCATGATATTTGCAAGTTAAACAAACAGAAGATATGAGCGACATAACAACAATTAATATAGAGATAAATGACAGAACAATAACAACTAGTCACATCAGATATGAGATTGCGACAATAACAGCTTAAGGTAAAGACATGTACATATACACGGAAAAACAGATATCACAACATAATGCATGTCCCTCATCCTTACCTGCACGGAAACACCCATCGTGCCATGACCTCACGATGATATAACAGTATAAATAAAATGGCACGGCATCACTCTTTGTTCTTTACACTCTCATAACATGGCACGACATCACCCTCCATGCTTTACACTCTCCCTCACATGATAATGTACAAACAATGGCACGACATCACCCTTCATGCTTTACACTCTTCCTTACCAAGCATATGTATATCAATGACAACAAGGCAGGAAGCATAAATAACATCAATGAGAGTATTTTAATAGATATTCCAAACAAATCTCAATCACAACTTTCCAAGTCAACAATGATTTAACAACCCTCAATAACCGTACTATTCAAATACTTCCACAAATCTCACAAATAATTGACAACACAAGTATAGAGTCTAGTATCTCAAGAATATCGGCCATAGTAACGTAGTAATGATTTCACATAGAAATGACCGAATCAGACACATCAATGTATTCTCAGAATTTCCGCCAAGTTTGATCAAGTTATGATAAGCTAAGTCTTGATTTCTATCATTTGATATTGTGTTCTTAGTATCTAAGAGTCAAGTGAGGCATGAAGCAGGAAGGTCATGAAATTCTACAAATACAAATGTAACATAATCCAACCCCCGAGCATGATTAACTCTGGCACATATATATACACCCGTCACCTCATATATGTATCATCCCCACATGTAGCAAACAATGACAAATAGGAGGAAAAATTCCCGCAACAAAGTTAGGCAAAACACTTACCTCAATTCGGCTAACTCAACACTCAATTTAGCCTTTTTCCTTTACAAATTCGCCTCTGCCCGGCTCAATCTAGCCAACGACGACTTGAATACATCACACAATGCAAGAGAAAATAATTTCAATTAATAATGCTGTGATTTTTATTAGATTTCTAAAAGTCAACAAAAGTCGAACTTCGGGCCTGCCCGGTCAAAATCTGGATCCAAGGGTAGGTCTTGACTAGCCATAACCTCACGAGTCAAAATACATATATATATATATATATATATATATATATATATATATATATTACTTCTTTTTTTGAAATCCGAGTACTATTCGACTCTCAAATCCTAAATTTTTATTTTTCAAAACTTTGACAAAATCTCAAAAAAAAATTCCATAGATTCCTCATGAATTTGATGTTAAATCTTATATAAAATCATGAAATATAGTTGGAAATTGATTAGAAGCACTTACTCAATGATTTGGTATGAAAATCCCTTTCACAAAATCGCCTCTCATTGAAGCTAGGGATCAAAATATATGAAAATGAAGCTAAGTCTCGAAATTCTCAGCACTTAACACGTTGCAGATGTCGCATTTGCGATAGGGGGTTCGCAAATGCGAACAATGTATCGCAAATGCAGACTGGAGGGCCTCCTGCTTAGGTCGCAATTGCGACCATATGTCACACCTCCTTTTTCCCTACACCCCGTAGAGGGTATAAGGGAGTTTTTTCCAATTTAAGTGACAATCGAAACGGGATTATTTATTTATTAAAAATCAGAGTCGCCACTTGGGATAATTTATGGTGTCCCAAGTCACCGATTTAAAATCCCGAATCGAGGAAGTTGACTCTTATTTATGGTCCGCGAACACAGAAATCCGGGTAAGGAATTTTGTTAACCCGGGAGAAGGTGTTAGGCACTCCCGAATTCCGTGGTTTTAGCACGGTCGCTTTGATCATACTTGGCTTATAAAAATTATATAATTACTGATTTTAGAACCTATGTGCCTTTACCGCTTACC